ATCTTTAATATATAAATCATCAGCCTTTTCCTCTCATTACCCGAGCGTCAAGATATGCCAAAAAAGTTGATTCACTTATGCTTGCTTGAAGAATGCTTTTTTTCAAGCTGGTCCACGAATAATCACTGAATTGACCAATCGGAATGCGAGCGTCTCATCACTAAACGCGGTGATGTTACCTCTACTGATGGACTCATCTCAGCCAGGTAGCCTGAGTTCGTGTCATCCCACGAACTTCAAACTTAGACTGCATACACTTTACGCGTCTTCCTATCATACAGGATGTCACCCGGATCTCGTTCTTCTTGTGGTCACTCTATACTGATTCAAAGTGAGAAGTAGCTAACTTCGTAATGTAGACACTTACTTAATTGCCGTAGTAACTGCGTTTGCCTCCTTGAAAGACAGATATGCTACACTGACGATGTAACTAAGTTTTTCTCTTGCTAAAACTTCATATGCGAAGCTTGAACTGTGATGGATCGATCCAGCTGAAAGTGTTGGCGTTCACTTGTGATGGTTTGTAAAATATCTTCCATCGTTCACACCGCCATTTCATTTGACCAATTTCATGAAGTTGAACATTTCCGATTGCTATTGTTTTCTAGTTTTGACTAATTCTACAACAATACCGAGCAAATGAGTTTCATCAACATCTTTTCTTTCACTTTAGCTGCATTTGATATCAATTTGTTGCTCTTTCCACACGGGTGGATTCTTCATATAGTCTATTGAACAAAATATATTTTCGACGTCTGGTAGATTTTCAAATTTTTAGAGGAACTGAAAGTACTTAGAAATTATGCACGATAGCATTTTTTACCTTTTCTATCTAGATTAGACAGCAACCTTGGTAACTGCCCAGTTTTTGGACAGTCCCCTTCTGTTTCACAATGAACCCTCATGTCATCCGATTTGGGGAACCGAGTTGGCAGTGTCATTGCATACGTCCGTTGAATGCTTTGAATGAGCTAATCAAATCCCATATCACAGAAGCTCTTTTCCTTTGAACCACACCCACTTTCTCCCATGATACATGTGGGACGATTTGGTTACGGTTGGACAGCCGTCATGATGCTGTGAATCTCACTCCCAGACAACAGTCGGACGACTCTGCTTTTGCTTCTACATCTATTGCCCGTGATGCTCGTGGTGCTACGGCACGGTTCCACCAGTCACCGTGCAGGTAGAGCAGTAGTGAGCACGTTCACCTGTCCTTCTCATGAGTCCGTCTGCCCATGGCTAAGCTCGTGCGCGCGTGCGTGCGTGCGTGTGCGCCCGCAGACATACCGCACCACCACAACAACACACACGTGCATTGTCCACATAGTTTGGGCGATACGCATGCCTGCTCGGTGATGCTTTGACATTCAATATAATTTCACAATTATCGTAGATTGCTGGGCTACGATGTCTAGGTGGCTAATTTGTTAGAGACCAGCCTTCCATGAGAAAAAAGACCAACGCGGGATGGGAGCATAGCTACTTACAGGTGAAACTCGCGTTACCCCGATATTCAATGTATGATGAGGAGGTATCCCAGTGATTTATTTATCACTGTTCATCAGTCTTTGGAATACTTCAGCCCACGCTGGGTGATTCCACTATTGTCTATAATTGTGTGTTTTCTCAATCACATTATACCTGTTGCATCCGTGCTTCCTGAGAGTACTTTCTGGGTTGAGGAGAATGTGGCAAAAGGAACCCTAATTGGACGAATTTCGTGTCCCCAATCTGGTGGTTGCGTCAATTTAAAACAAGTGACTTATACCCTTCTTGCACAGAGTCATATTGGTCAATTTTTCCATATAGACCCCTCTGAAGGTTACATTCACGCCTCACAAAAACTTGACCGGGAGAAACTTTGTACCAGTTTGGATGGCTCGTCTACTCACACTCGCATACCTCATGGGGTGAGGCAGATTAGAAGCCCAAAGAAAAACAATGGACATACAACTTCTGGATCCACTCAGGGAGATTCTACACAACTTCACACCTCACTTCGTGAAAGCCAACGGCGCACCAGCTGGACATCCAAAAACGTTTTGGTTCACATGTCATCCAACACATGTCAAATTCGATTTCAGGTGCATATTTCGCTAACACACGCTGACGGAACCCTAGAAAATCACTTGCAAGATGTCCAAATTGTGATTACAGATTTAAACGATAACATACCGGAATTCTTCGTTCCCAGTTTCATACTCAGTGTTCTGGAATCATCTCCAATCGATGCAGAATTTCGCCTTCCGCAAGCAGTTGATGCAGACGCTGGTACTCATGGAATAACTAACTACCGAATGACGAGGGCCCTTCAAACCGCAGCTCAAATGCTAGATAAAAAAATGTGCACGAATTTCCAGCCAGAACTAACGCAGAATCCAGATCCTGAGAGGAAACACACAGAAGATAATGATCTTGGGGATCTCAACCAATTGAAAATCTATTCTCCATTTGCTGGTGATTTTTTTGTTTTAAAACTGGAAGCGGATTTCAGTGGTATGCTCCAACCCCTATTGAAACAAACGAGACAACTAGATCGGGAACAGTATGGAGCACTCTATTTTTGCTTGATTGCGGAAGACGGTGGAGGTAATGAAGGTGTTCTTCCGATTAGAATAGACCTACTGGATGTCAATGATAATATACCGCAATGGCAGGGACTTCCGTATCGAGTATTCATTTCAGAGTGCGATCAGCAAGCATCACCTGGTGTCCTTCCCAATAGTGGTTTTAAATTACTCCTTAATTTGTACGCTGAGGATAAAGATAGTGGACGCAACGGAATGATCACTTACAGATTGGCTCCGCAGGAACCAATGACACAGCACAGTATGGCAACAAAGCCCAAACTTCCAACCATAGCCATAAGAGAGAATCAAGTTTTTCTGGCATCCAAATTAGATTATGAAGCCCTATCCAAATTTTGGATTCCCGTGGAGGCGGTTGACGCAGGTGGTTTGTCCAATTTTACCGAGATAGAAGTCAACGTTGAGGATTGCAACGACCACGCACCCATGATTGAAGTTTTTTCCCTCACCAAGGAAAGTGAGAGAAATGGGACTCAAAGTGGTGGCTATGATCACAAAACGAGAGAAGGTGTTTTGCTTTGGGTGACGGAGGAAGACCAAGCACGTGTTCAACTAGCCACTCTCATGGTTCATGATTTGGATCAACATGGATTCGCTCAAATTTCTTGTCATCTGGAGAGTAGAACACCGCCTAATTCCAATGCTGACTATATCAGCTATTTCAAACTGCAACCAATTACCTCATTTCCAGACACAGAAGCAACTGCTCGTGTGTCTAATGGCCTCCAAGGTCGCTCTCTGCCTTCAGTATTTACTCTTTACAAACGTGAATCCATGGCGATTGATCGCGAAAAGGTTAATTTCATCACATTAACCATTGTGTGCTCCGATAATGGTGTACCTCAATCACACGAGACAAGAAAGGTGGTGTACGTCAAGATCAAGGATATTAATGATAATCCACCCATGGTGGGTGGAATCAACTCTTCCCATTCAGCTGAAGCCTCATTTGTAACGCAGACAATTCAAGTACTGGAAAATCAGCCATTCGGAACACTGGTTGCAACCATTTCGGCGACGGATGCTGATGAAGGCATCAATTCACAACTCTTGTACACATTCCTGTCACAGAGTGAGCTAACAAATGCATCTGTGTCAAAAGAAGACATGCTTCTTAACGGTCAGAGTATATTTGAATTGGAACCGACGACTGGAAATTTGTTTACTCACGTACCTCTTGACCGGGAAATGAATTCGAGTTTTTTCACCTATGTGCGTGTAAGTGACCAGGGGTCACCACCTCTCTCAACGACGGTACTGTTACACATCCTAGTTAAGGATGTGAATGACTCACCACCACATTTTGTTAGCTCCGCGGGCACCAACGGACGCATTCTTTTTGTAGTCAATGAATCCATCGGTAAAAGCCGAGTTCATGGACGACTAATTGGACAACTGAGCGCTTCCGATGCTGACGAAGGTCCCAACGCAAATGTATACTATGAGTTAGTAGAAGATTCGCTGGTCCCAATAGGGCTCGCAGTTGTCTACCGTGTGACGACCAAAGGTAAGATCTACGCTGACGGTGTTATGGATCGAGAACAGTCCAGAGAGCATCAATTTACTGTACGGGCTATTGATGGCGCACCAAAAGGCCAGCAACTCTCTGCAAGCGCAGTCGTCATTGTACAACTAAAGGATATCAATGATAGTCCACCGCAATTTACGTCACCTCGTCCAAAACAAGACGGTAGCATTGCTTCAGATCTGATCAATATCACGGTAAATGTTCTACCAGGCACAGTTTTATACCGAATACATGTGACCGATTTAGATGAATCTGAAAATACACAGTTACAGTTTGTACTTCGCTCAGCCAAGTTTTTGTCTAACTTTTTTGCACTGCGTTCATATCCCTCACCACTATCCGAATCAAACGAGGTAACGGAAGCAAGTACCGAACTGATTCTTGTAAATTCTTTGTCCCAATTACCCTCTATGAGAACCTTTACTCAGGAAGCATCAGATTCAACCACGATAAGTTCCAAATTTGCACCAAAGGAGTACTTTCTGTACATTATTGTAAAGGACAGCGAACGTGAACCAAGTCATTCAAGCACCGCACGTTTACAGCTCCATATTTATCCAGAAAACTATTCATCTAATCGCCTTGAGGGAGCACAAACCATAACAAGGAGAAACACATCTGAATTTGCAAATGTTTTGCCTGGGAAAATTGTGTACAATACAGAAGCACACTCAGTTATGGCCGACAATATCAAAGAAGCCGACAGAAATGATGGGCGGAAAGCCTCTGGCTTGACAGCGATTCTTGTGATAGCTATTGCGTCTGTGTGCATCTTTCTCGGATTATTCTGTTTTGTCGCCTTCCTTTACTTGCGTGGACCAAGTGTACGTCAGCAGGAAAACGAGGACCAGTTGCCTAATTTGACAAGGAAAGTGGTCCAAATGCATGGCGGAAATGCTGAAGACAATGGTTCCACTTCAGATCATACGCTTTACTTGGATCTGTTTCGACAAAGAGGTGAGTTGCTTTAGTGGGAAACACCTTGCCTTTGTTATTCGACCTAGCGCTGCTAAAGCACATTGTGATTTAGCACACGTTTCTAGGATTAGTCTCTCATGTAAAATGAAGCCGAAGAACCGTTGCACACAGTGGGTGATGCCATATGCGGTCTTTTCTGAGCCCATGTATCTCCGTTATGTTACTGGTGTAAGGTCGAGGGTATATAAACGGTGAGTGAACAAGCTAAAGCAGAAAGTAAGACACCAGTGTGCACGTCTAGTGGCCAGTAATTGTTAATTTTGGTCAACACCAATTCCGAACAGCCATCCAACCAACGTACATCTCAACTCTGCCTTTGTCCCACGTATTTGTCTAGCTGCTGGGAAAAATCTGTCACACTCTACTTGGACATTGGTACTTTCCTGAAGCCACCAACTCGGTTTCCATGGCTAACTACAGCTGTTTCTTTAACACTTACGTCCACAGGGCCTGGTGTGCGTACAAAGTTATCGCACCAAATTCCCATAAGCTATGATTAGGCCAAACCGTTCATTGTTTTGTTTGACCGTGCTGATTCAGGTCTTTTGTTACCCTCCAAGAAGGCGCTTTTTTCAGTGAACAGAAATAGGCCACTTAGAGTTTATGGTTTCACAGTCTTGCTCAGCTTGATCAATCCACTGTCGGTGTCGTGTTAGATGACGGTGGTAACAAGGATTAACTTCGAAGGCGCCTAAATTTCATACTACCGTTTTAATATGCCATTCTTTTTATAGAAGTATGTCCTATTCGGGATACCTTCATGAATTTCGAGAAGTCACATTTTATGCACCGTTTCGAAAGACAACCCCCAAAAACTATAGGACACCATGCAGAAACATCAGCAGCAGTGCGCATCTGGCGAGTGCACAGGGAGGGACGACATCTCAACCTACCGGTTACCATTTGCATTCAAAACAGTTCAGACACGAGCGGCTGACCAGTAGGGTGTCTAACCAACACTCACTCAGTACTCGGTGCCACTCAACTTTCACGCACGGAATATGAGTGATATTAATCCCGTCAGTGAGATAGGAGCGGCACCATATCCTGTTCAAATGCGAGTTAATCATACCACTTATGAGCCGATAATGACCAAACGGACTAGTGTCCTACTACTAGCAGGGAGGTCGCAGGTTGGAGACCCCATGGAGTTTTGTGAGAATAGCATTGTCGTTACGTTTTAATTAAAATATAACAACTATACAGTGGTGTTCGCCTTTACTTACAGGGTGAAAACCTCCCACTCTCCTAACACTGTCCTTAATTTATAAATAGCATAGAGAAAGAATAAGTTTACGGGAAGAGTAGGCTTACGAGACGAGTAAAACTTCCAACTGAGAAGCCATCACTTAAGGAAGCATTCAACATTGGACCATGTGATATGGACTCTGTGAGAAAAGGATGAGTGGCACCAAATACTGTCTAAATAAGGGTTAGTTGACTTGTTGATTAGCCGCCCGTGACTGAACTGTATTGTACCCAGCTGTTATCAGGAACGCCGCAAATTTTTTTATCCCTCTCCATATTAACGAGATGCGCATTGCTGATGACTCCCAATAAGGATAAAAATTCCGTACAATGCTGTTTGGCTTCTCCAAAAATCCTTTTACCATCAAAAGTTGTCACTCGTGTCTTGGTGGTAGTGTAAACTAATTCTTGGGAATGTGTGATGCGTTGAATTCCATAATTTTGTGTGGGGTATTACTTTCTGAAGAATAAAACTTGACTCTGCTGGCTACAATTACTAGCCGGACAGACTGCATGATAAACAACGCGTTTAACAGTGGCTAACAGATATTCTGCCTCCACTAAAAGGGGTTATCACTGTCAACGCCTCAAAAGTTGTGGCGAGATAAACACTATCGTGTGCTCCTCACATCAATGATCAACCAAAACAACCGAGACGAGGACTTTATTGCTTCTAACAGCTGGGAACGATATTAAACTCATGGGTTCCATCAACACACATTACATCATTAGCGATTGTTCAGAGACATCAAGCTTTCCAGAGGTAAACGAGTTTTCCTGGTATGTCACTGGAAGCCAAACTATTCCGTGGGATGGCCTGTTGAGTAGTTTTGGGAAGATCGGGAAATTAAACATATATTAGAATGTTCTGCTTCTGAAACTATGGTCATTATTCCAAAGTCGATGTAGACTAAATCTCATCATAACCTTAATTATCCTATGATATGAGACTTGTTTTTTAGTGGTGTCTTGTAGTAGAACTACGTTCTGTGAGCAGGGTGATGAAGGTTCTGACAAGGATTTATTTGAGACTAGTTCATCAAACGCCTTCACTCTACAGTACATAATCACTTGCATGCATGCTGAATTGCTCTTTGTGCTCTGTGTTGCGTTGAGGCTAGTCGTAAGTGCACCCGTTATGGATTATTAAGGGTGGCATTAATTTTCTTATCTTTATAGCTTTAATCAGTCCTCCACTTGTTTTTCAGCGCAAATTGGTGTACCTGTTTGGATCCCAGGATTTTTTCGTAGTAAGCCTTGCAAAAGGATTCTGGTTCAATGCTAGTTGACCAAGTGGCGCAAAGAAACAACGATCTGTAGGGTGAGATTTATGGGATCCTTATCGAAGATTATGTTAGTCACCTAGGTTCATGTGGGATGTCGTGGTAGCAAATCTGAAACGACAAGTAAAGTGTTCCACCGTGGGTCAAGAAGGATCATATCCAATATAGACATACTGTGAGTTGAGCAGTTATTTTAATCAACCGAGTAGGCTGAAGCAAGAGTTCAACCCTGATTTACATTTGTCGAGTAAATTGATAATGTTAGATGGTGTCAGACACTCGGCTGAGGTGGGAGCGATTAAGTTGCCTACCATCACTAGGTTGCCGGTTAATGATGATGTCGTTCTGCTGCACTCACTGGTAGGTTTTGACTCCCTGCGGTTGAGAAATACTCCAACATATGTTTAACCACTTTGTACTACCCGCACATTATCACATGTAAAAGGAGGTTCCAGCTTATGCGATGCAAGAGTGGTGGTTTTCAAGGCTTGGCGAACCTTACTGCAGCAACCGAGAATGTATCACCAGTGTGGGGATTTGTTGGCAGTTCTAAGTACCGAGTAGATTCCAACAGACTAGTAACCCACCAACGCACCTGAGCTTCCAATATTCGGCAAACTGGCCGCTGCTAGGATTACCATGTAAATAAAATGCAAGGTAGCGAAATGCACTCATTTTCATACTTATTTGGTTTCGACGGGAGATCCTCCTGGAACGCAGCTAAATCTTTCGTTTATGGTGTTCTTAATGTGAATGTGGGTAGTCCATGCCGGTGCATCATCATTATCATGTGCATCATAAAATCACTTTTTGAAACTAATGTTTTGCTTTGGTACAACCGTAGCTTACTTAAAGACTTAATTTTGTAGGGTTAAAATAGATGTAGATGGGTAGAGAATTCATGTCTTTTTGTCGGGTATCTTATACACCCAAAAGCCTGTAAATACAGGAATTTTATTATATTAAATCTCAGGGCAATTCTTACTGAGCAAGCATGTTGAGGTGAACAGACCGGTTTGCAGCTTCAAAGTGTTTCTGAAAGTATGGGATGTTATATCGTTTATACGTTGGCATCATGCTGGCCCATCCAGCGATCGTGTCGCTGATTCAAAGGACATCATAAGTTGACGGAGGGAAAAAACACCTACAGTCTGATTTTGAATACAGTCCAGATGATCCAGCTAAGGCTACGGATTACGCACGAAGGAATAGGATCGATGGGGGCCAACCGCGAGGGAACCTCTCTCAATCAAGAAGGGTAACCTCACAAAGTTGCACCTATTTCAGAAGAGTGGTGGTCGCACTTGGTCACAATGCATCAGGTTGTCGGTCATATCGGTAAAACGAGGAGTAAAGGAAATTGCGGTGGCCTAGACAAGGCTAGAATTAGTTCTGCTTTATGCCACTTCTTGATGCTACATCGATACGTGTCTTTCCTGTGCATAAAATCACAAATAAGTCGTTTAGCAATGTCACATTGTTTGAAGCAATGGTAGGTTCTGATTCTGAGTATACTTTGGTAGGGTATATATATATATATATTCTACGACAGCCACGCGCTGCCTTATGGAACAAAGCGCTTTTGAAAGCAAGCGTCCTGCTCGAAAGACATTGCAACAAGAAGATGCGGTTGTAGAAACCACAAATCTCCTAGCCGTAAAACACGCAAAACAGAAAAATAGTAAATTGGGGATTAAAATGGGCTTTCAACGCAGCCTCACGTGAAGCAGTCTAGTGGATAAACTTATGAAAGCCACGTGGTCATATCCAACTCTCTTCGAGTGCGTTGCCCTAACTTCCATCGGTTAATCAATAATACCACGAGGAATTCCCGTTCCGGTGGCCAGTTAGTTTTTACGGTAACGGTGGATTGTCGGGGGAATGTCAAGTTTAGGCCTCCGTATAATCAGGTGCATCAGGCCCTTTGAGCCGAGCTCCATAGGTTAAAAATAAATTTAAGTATACCCTACGAAGTGGTGGGCAAAACAGCTCGAACAAATACTTCTCAAACGAAGGGTGTCATGAACCAATATTTTACGACACCACATAAATGGAGTAGCTAGTGGACCAAACCGATTTTCACATTCTATCGATGATTGTAAGCGTGTTCTTACATATAATCTCAGCTGGATTTGCGCGGCAACCTTGTTCATCATAGAGATATAACTAATCGTTTTCACCCATTGCCTATATATAGAAATTTAAGGAAAGCCAGCTATCGTGATATTCTGCTGAGGTTCTCAGAGGTTCCTCAAAAAATATTCAGTAAAGTTCCAGAAAGTATTACGGTTAAGCTACTGGAATCCTACATTCGCTTTGTCCGGTGTGCAGATGAACCTGGACCTGTGAAACTAATTTAGAATCACTTTTGAACAGAAACTGATAACGTTAAGGCACTACCCTTATCCATGTAGATTCACAGAGCGCAGAACGCGTTATTCAACCATCTGACGTTGTCCGGGTTAGAATATGTTTGAATTTCACAAACTCTCAAATGAATTTATTGTTCTGATGGCAGCTATTAACAAATAGGTTTTCAACATGTCCCCTGAAGTTGAGATAGACGAATGTACAAGTAATTTTCGTAACGTAGGGCTGCATATGCAGTTCGAGTTAGTTTTCACGGGAAACTCAACGAATCTCTCGAACAGAAACTGATAACGTTAAGGCACTACCCTTATCCATGTAGATTCACAGAGCGCAGAACGCGTTATTCAACCATCTGACGTTGTCCGGGTTAGAATATGTTTGAATTTCACAAACTCTCAAATGAATTTATTGTTCTGATGGCAGCTATTAACAAATAGGTTTTCAACATGTCCCCTGAAGTTGAGATAGACGAATGTACAAGTAATTTTCGTAACGTAGGGCTGCATATGCAGTTCGAGTTAGTTTTCACGGGAAACTCAACTGAATCTCTCGGTTAAGATATTCTTCAACTGAACCAACATGTGTTTGAGGTGTGGGGCAGAGAAAATTTGCCATGATATAACTGCACCGTACTCGGCAGTTTCAGTGCATCTTAGTTCAGCCACGTGCAACACTAAAGCTTCATCGACATTGCAGATCTTCATAAGGTGCAGTCGGCCAGGTAGATTGAAAGCAACTACGCACTCGAGACAAACACCATACTTGAGAGTGAACCTAAAGCGATTGTACGATTAACGGACCACTTGGTGAGGATTTTATTTGTTTGAGCCCGATCTATTTTTGCCCATTTTACTCACTTTTAACTTGTTTTACGGTACAGAGGAGTGTGCAGGAAACTCTGACCTGCAACTGAGTAGTCCTCGTCCGATCACTCGTACGGATCAGATGGGGTCAATGCCTGAAATATCAGCTCATTTTTCCGACACAACACTTCAACTAAAATTCTTGTAGACCCTTCCATTGCCTGCTGGTACTTTGGGAATTTTAATCCTTGTCGAGAGTGTTGAAACACCAGTTACTTGCACACCATGCCATTTAAGACTTAAGACGACCCTACACACCGTATTTATTTGAAAGCTCTTGTACACAAGAGAATTGAGTAGGTCTCTTGTTAGCAACAAGCCAATTCCCCTATGGACATATCCATTTAGATTGAGATGATAAAATGTACTACTTTTATAGGATTTCCTTCAGTTTCCGTCGTGCAAAGACTGTCGCCCATTTCACTCTTGGTTTTTAATGCGCAACATTGTGGAAGATAAAATAAACATTATGGAGAATAATATCAAAATACCCATGTGTAAAACTAACCTAAAAAACACCCAGGCGTAAATCTGAGGAAGACAGGGATTAAATTTGGCTACTTTTTATTACTGTCTCTCATATCGTTGCCGACTTCAAAAGCGCCACCATATGTTTGCATTTGTTCGTATGGTTATCGGATATTGGATGTGTGAACCCCATACGTAGAGCCAAGTTAGTCACCTAAAACTCTTCTGAGTAGCCCAACTTAAGTCGGCACAAAAACTGAGGCTACACGGCTCCAAACGTCCACACAATTCAATGAAATCAAGTGTTCCATATTTGCCTGGTTTTGAGCAGAAGGAATAAGTACCATGCACAATTAAAATAAATTATTGTTTCAATGCGACCGGATAAAACAAATAGTCTGGCGGGGGTTAGTTTATTTAGGATGAGCCTTAATACAGCGATGTCTTCGTAACGTATCCAGAGGAAAGTCTCCTGAGCTACTAATAAAAATTCAGCCCTGGCAGCAAATATAGACAAACGTATTATCCGGGCAATTTTTTTCATTGAAAGTAAAACTATTAACCCCGTGGGTGAAATAACAATCATTAGACTATACGAACCCCAACTTAAGGGGATGTGGTGCACAAGAAAAACAGATGCGGAAGTTACCAATAAGTAAATTTGTATGCACAGTAAAGGATTGCGGAATCCCACTAAAAATTTCCCTACTACCCTATGGTTTGATAGACGTTTCAATCGTCTAAAGCAAGTCTGGAGTGTTGATCGTGATTCTGGTATTCTGAAGCATGGGGTCTTCCACTTTTAAACTTAATTCTATGTGTAGACACCTGCGTAGACACCGCCTGAAAAAACAACTAAAGATATTTAACTAAGCTGGAAAAATTTGAGACATCATTGCCACTTCGGAAATCCTAACAGGAACAGAATTTACGGCATAACAAATTAGTGAAAACCATGTTCCAAGTCACAACGCGAAAAACAGTATTCTACCATGCCTATGAAAGGATAAGAATCATGAAACTCCGGTACATAAATCCTTTATCTCGATTTCGATAGTTGAAAAGCTTGCCATATTGAAGAATCCTTGAAAATTTCCGAATAGTGTGGGCTCAATTGAATCTCATCTCAGGTCAGCGAAATTTCACTTGAGGAGATCGTGATACAAGCATGTCTATACTTGATTATGACTCTGTGGAAAACGAGGTCATACGGAATTGAAAGTTCCCTTTTGACTTTGGATCGTCTGTTACATAGTCCTGGAAGCT